TTTTTTTCTAATATTGTAAAAAAAAAAAATCCAAAATTTTAAATTAGATATGTTTAGATAAAATTTAAAGATTTTAAAATTTTAAAGATAAAATTTAAAGATATTAAAATTTAAAGATTAAATATTGTTAGATGTACCAATCACTTTAAGCCAAATATAATTTTGTTTTCAAAAATTTTAAAATTGAGAAATTGTATTTAAGGTTTGAAGCTGTTGTGTGTGTTTGTGTTGTTAAGTGGGTGCATATTGGTTGTAGATGATCCGAAGAACTCTTATTTGAGGGAGCTTGAAGGAGCAAAAGTGAGATTAACTTTATGCAGAGCTGATCTTCTTGATTTCGAGAGTTTACGCAAAGCCATTAACAGGTGTGATGGTGTGATAGACATGAAATAAAGTAAATTAAATTAAATTCAAGACTTGATGAGTTTCGAATCTGATTAAATTGAAAAACAAAAGAAAATTACAAATTAAAAAGTAAGCAAGCCCAAATCGTGCGAAATGTAATAATGAAGAAGATGAAAAGATATGTAGATAAACTGAAAAATAATGGAAAAAAGAAATATATAGATACACAAAAGTAATAAACACTGAAAAAATACATATAAAGTAAGAAATAATATTATGAGCATAAAAATGAAGAAAATGAAAAGATATGCAGATGATCTAAAAAAATTTAAAAATATATATGCACACAAAGTAACAAACACTGAAAAAATGCATATAAAGTAAAAAATAATATTATACTGACCTTGTAATGATTTTTTGCAAATAATCAAACTTGCAAAATGTAACAATGGAGAAGATGAGTTATTATGAGAAAATAAAAGATGACTGGAATAAACTGAATAGAGAAATGTGTGTGTGGAAGTTGTAGGAGTTGTCGATTTCTTTTTTTTTTTTTCAAATTGAGGTTGAGAGTGAGATAGATATTATTGTGAATGATGGATATAGATGAATATTTTATTATTTTGGAATAAGTATTATTAGAAGGAGTGAGAAGGCTTGAAGAGTGGAAAGGGAGATAAAGGGAAGTGCCACGTAATATTTTTTTTTTTCAAAATTATGAAAATTTAAGATTTAAGTTTTAGAGTCTTTCGACTTAACAACTATATTTGGTTATATATATATATAGTATAGATTTATATATATTATACTTTGAATTGCAAGTTCTATTTGGTAAAAGCTGTGCTAAGGTTATTTTTTAACTGTTTTTATTGTTAGACGATTTTGTCCTCAATTAATAGGGGAAGAAGCTCCGGCGTGAATGGGCTGACATGCGAGCACATGCTTGCTGATAGCAAAATTTAGGGCTGGGTTGGCTAAAAAATTATTACTATTCATAAAAATATATATATAAAAAAATTAATATACATAATATTAAAAAAAATCAACTTCACGACATCCTATATACAGACCTGAAAGCATAGGAGTGAAAAAAATCAACTTCACGACATCCTATATACAGACCTGAAAGCATAGGAGTGAAAGGAAAAAAATAAAATAGTACATGTGTATTTTCATTAATTAGATGGTAAATTTGGGCACGGGTCCTGTTTTTCTAATCGGAACCGTTCAATGTGTAGAACTCGTTGAGCAATATATATTTGTAAAAAAACACGTCTATCGGATATCGCTAACTATATGATCAAATAAGTTTTGTATAAAAAATAGATGGTATTATAGTTAACATGTGACAAAAAACAACTAACACGATCAGATAGCTATCGATATCCAATGAATGTGATTTTTTATAACAATAAAGTACTCGACGATTTTTACACATTGAACGGTTCCAATTAGAAAAACGGGACATGTGGTGGCCCCTATGAGGCAGAACAACACCGTCCAAACAAATGCCGAAAAGTAAGCAATCTTTCCCATATTCTTTTCGGCCGAGGCACTACCGAACCGTACGGATTCATTAATTATTTTCCCCAGTAGTGCTGCATACCCCAGTGGGGGTCGCACTCCAGTGAGGTGTCGTGCCCCCACTGGTTGAAACTTAAAAAAAAAAAAAAAATAATAATTTTTTTTTGACCAATAATGGAGTGCCACCTCACTGGGGGTCGACCCCCAGTGGGTGTATGAGGCATTTTTCTTATTTTCCCTTACACACTTATTTATACAATATTTTAATATACATTTTTTCATAAAAAGTCAAAAAGTTAACCCAAACATCCATATTTTTTCCCTTAACTTTTTAGTTCAAAAAGACAAAAAGTGTACTTATTTAGGATACCCCAAACAATCCCTTTAATCTCTTGTGTTTTAAAATAATAGTTTTTTTTTTTAGAATTTAATTTTTTTAATAATATAATTATTGCACTTTAAAAATATTATTTTTTTAAAATTACCTTTTAATAATATATTTTTTTGAAAATATCAATTGTCATAATTATACTTTTTGTATTATTAATGAATTTAAAAGAATGGCAAAATAGAAAATTTATACTCCTTCCATCCCAAAATATTAGTCCCTTATTTCATTTTTTATTGTTCCAAAATATTAATCCATTTTCAAAAATCAAGGAATAAAATAATATGAATTTACTACTTTGTCATTTTTTTAAATTTATTAATAACATAAAAAATACAATTATGACAATTGATATTATCACAAAAAATACTATTAAAGAATAATTTTGAAAAATTAATAATTTTAAAATGTAATAATTGTACTATCAAAAAAGTTAAGGCCATGTTTGGTTTGGCGTTGGAAAAAGATTTCGGAGAAAATTTTTGAAAATTTTGTTTGATTTGTAATTTTTCTTAAAAAATTTTCGAAATCACTTTTTCTATCCTACACATCAATCAATCACTTTTTCTCTCTCATTTCTCATTTTCAATCACTTTTTCTCTCTCGTACACATACTCAATTATAACAAAATATCAAATCATTCCAAACTTCCAACCTCCAAAATTATTTTCAAAATATACAACTAAACAAACTACAAAAATTTCTAAACTCTCTTTTCAAAATATTTTTTGAAAGCTTATTTCTCAAAGTCAAACCAAACAAGGCCTAAATTTCTCAAAATAGACTATCATTTTGGAAGAGAGGGAATATTATTTTAGTCTTTGATTTTTGAAAATAGACTAATATTTTGAAATAATAAAAAATAAAATAAATGAATAATATTTTGTGACGAAAGTAGTATCTTTTTTGTATCTTAAACTTTAAAATATCACAACTTTAAATATAAAATAATACCCCAAAAAAAATGTGGAGCAACCATAAGAAACATTGTTGCGCAAAACTAAGAAGTTTATTAGTTTTAAAATTGAAAAAAATTAGAAATTGAGAAGTTTCAGTTTCATACAACAAGACAGGAAGTGAATTACGATTTTATATTGAAAGTATATGATATTTAATAATTAATAGATGATATTGTCATACAATACGTGGAGCACTTGTTATTGTGACTAGACGCGCATATTTGGATGTGCGCGCGTATTTATGGAAAAAAATAAAATAAAATAAAAAAATAATATTTTGTGACGAAAGTAATATTTTTTTTTTTTGTATCTTAAACTTTAAAATATCATAACTTTAAATATAAAATAATATCAAAAAAAATGTGGAGCAACTATAAGAAATATTGTTGCGCAAAATTATGAAATTTATTAATTTTAAAATTGAAAAAAATTAGAAATTGAGTAGTTTCAGTTTCTTACAATAAGAGGAAGTGAATTACGATTTTATATTGAAAGTACATGATAATCAATAATTAATAGATGATATTGTCACACAATACACGTGGAGCATTTGTTATCGTGACTAGACGCGCATATTTGGATGTGCGCGCGTATTTATGGAAAAAATAAAAAAATAATAAAATAATAAAATTAGCAGCACTTGTTGGCACAAAATCTGTTGGGGGAGGACCTAGCCTTCAACAATTTTGTAAAGAGTAACTCTTTTTATATTTGGTTATTCTTTTTACTTTGACTTTTAGGATTTAGGCCTACATTGAAAATAGATTTTTTTAGTAATTTTTTAATTTTTTAATTAAAATATAATGTAAAAAAAATTAATATGTTTAGAATAATTTTTTGATTTTTTATGAAAATATGTGTAAAAAGTAGAGAAAAAATGAAATATTTAACTTTTTGATATGAGTTGTTGGTTTTTTGATTTTTTTAGTAACTTTTCGGCTAAAACGGTCGCTTCCCAAACGAGGTCTTAATTTTTATTTTTTTATTTTTTTATATTTTAAGTTTTTCCTATTTTACTCTTAAAATTAATTTATGTTTAAAATTAAACAAAAAAAATAACAATACCTGTCACATAACATACAAAATATATTATTATATTAAAGTTTAAATGTAAGGCAGATGTGTGAATTATATATAATAAAATATTTTTTTGCCACGTGACTGTCAATGTATCATTTTGTCTAATTTTGAACAAAAATTTACTTTAAGAGTAAAATAAAATAAAAAATTTAAAACATGAAAGGTCAAAGTAAAATAAAAAATTAAAAAAAAAAAAAACTTTAAATGTCAAAGTGAGAAAGTAACTTAATATATGGGAAGCAAAGTGTAATTTATTCTTTTATAAAATATATATTTTAGTCAAAAAAATTATTAAAAATATCAAAAATCGTTTAAAAAAGTCAAATATTTATTTCCCTTCTCTTTACATACTTTTTTTTTTTACTTTTTTCCTACACAGTAAAACAATCAATTCTGAATATTTCAATTTATTTTATCTTATATTTTAATTAAAAAATCGCTTCCCAAACTAACCTAAATGCCTCATTATACTTTGGACAAACCCAATTTGGCATCTCTTTCAAAATGCCTCGTTATATTTTTGGACAAACCAAATTTGGCATCTCTTTCAAAATGGGGCCTCAAGTATGAATATTATTACTTTAACCAATTTTTAATTCTTTGTTAGTAAAGCAACTGATATGTGGGTGAGTAAACACCCGAATCACTACACTATATATAGTTATAGATCCCAAATGTATCATCCTCCAACCAAGATAGATAAAGCTAATTTATTTTCTCATCTAAAAATGGCTTCATCTCAAGTTGGTGATATGGTGAATGGCAACGCCGAGCCTACTCGCCACTTGGCCAAATTTCCCCCTAGTTTATGGGGTGATAGATTCACTTCATTCACTTTAGATAAACTGGTAATTATTACATCTCCATTGCAAAATACTACAAATTCACTCTTATCAATTTTATATCCTTATCAATTCAGAAATTGAGTTTAGGTCTTTTACCATGATTTTCAGGCGTGTTTCCTGTGATAATTTCAAAGTGACATCATTTTGTTAATTTTTTTTTTCTTTTTTCTATCTCATTTGTTTCATAACCCTAACCTGTCTTTGAGAGAGAAACACAAACAGAAAGGCGGAGGCAAAACGCGGAGGAGGGTGACCGACGGTGATTTATTATAGTATTAGTTATGACTTGGATACGACTCATTGTGGTATTAGATGTGACTTATTATGATTATTATTTGATTATACCTTATGTGGTATTTGGTCTAAGACACCACACTAAATTTATATATCTACTTTATTACATTATAGGTTAAAATTCTAGGCACTTGTTCTTGGTAATAAATTTCTATGAGGCTACGTTCGATTTATAGTTTTAGTGAGAGATTTGAAAATTGAAAAAAAAAAATAAAAAATAAAAAGTGATCTTTTATTTATTTTTTCTCTTTCCTTGTCCAAATTTGAACTAAACACAGCATTAACAAATTTTTATTGTGAAGTTGTTGTAATTAATGAATGTATGGTAATGAGATTGAAGTGTTGAAAGAACAAGTGAGGAGCATGGTAGTAGCCGGTGGACGTAAAGCAGCAGAACAAATAAATTTGATCAACGTGCTCGAACGCCTTGGTGTGTCGTATCACTTCGAGAAAGAGATTGAAGAGCAATTGGAGCAATTGTTTGCTAAGTTTGAAGACAATGAAGACTATGATTTGTTCACCATTGCACTACACTTTCGCATATTCAGACAACATGGCTATAAAATGTCATGTGGTAATTTACATCCTCACCACATATCCAAAACTGACACCTCGTTTTTATTTTTATTTTATTTATTTTAAACATAAATTGTTCATTTATTGTAGGGCAATCTTCATTCCATTAGCAGTCACATTTATTTATACTATATATTATAACAAAATAATATTTCAATAAGAAGAGCTCCAATACTATATATTAATTTTTTTACATTTAAAAATATTTTTTAAAAAAACTATTGGCTAACCCATTACACTAATTCTGTAAAAATAATAATTACCCATGCTTTGTGATTTGCAAAAGGAAATACTTCCTACTTATTTACCTCTTCAACCAAGAAACCTTAAAGCAATACACAATCACCTTCCCACAAATTAAACATAACATACACCTTACAACATATACATATGTAAACTATATATATATGCTTCTCTCGAAGGCTTTCAAACATTGTCAAAAGCTTCAAAATCATTTATGATTGAATTTTGTTTGATGGGCAAAATTCAAAATATTTTTAAAAGGGTCAAATTCATTTAATAGTCCTTTAAAATCTTTAATAAATAATAATAAATAATAACTCTTATATATCAGGTTAAGTGGTCAGATTTAAAATTTAAACTCTTCTGATAGTTAAATTAATCATGACACTAGACATAACTTAACATCTGGAACGGAATTAAGAGAAGACTATGGAGCGTCATGACCCTCTTGTTTCTGTAAAGAATATTGTTTGCTACATAACTTTAAATATATATATATATATATATATTATTTTATACATAAAATGATCTCCCAGTATAAAAAATATGTCTTATCATTCTCTCATCTTGCATTCTTTTTCTGTTTTGCAAAAAACAAAATAAAATTTCATCATATTAGAAATTACTTCTGTGGCATTTAATTTTTTTTTTCCATGTATATATAATTATATAGCATATTGTACATACATGTATGTTTGAGTATATGGTGAAAAAAAAATTCTTTTGACCTCTCAATTAATAAAATCTTGATTTTGTCTCTGCTAAGCATGATATGATAAATATATACATATATATAGTGTAATTTTAACCAGACTCAATAGATGTCCACTTTCTAATTACTGACATGCAATAATATGATGGCTTATGAATCAGATGTGTTCAACAAATTTAGAGACAACAATGGTGAATTCAAGGAAACAGTGAGCAATGATGTACTGGGTATGTTAAGCTTATATGAAGCTACATATTTGAAGATCCGTGGAGAAGGTTTTCTAGATGAAGCTCATGCTTTCACAATAGCCCAACTTGAGTCTCTGGTGGGAGGGCCACATTTAAGCCCTGATCTTTCTGAACAAGTGATGCATGCCCTCAAGCAGTCAATCCACAGGGGCTTTCCAAGACTAGAGGCAAAGCATTTCATCTCTTTTTATGAAAAAGATGCTTCTAGGAATGAAACCCTATTGAGGCTTGCAAAGTTAGATTTCAATCAGTTACAGTCGTCGCACAGGGAAGAATTGGGCCACATCTCTAGGTAATATGATCATTTATATTCTTAATGTATCTCTCTTGTGCGGTTTCTTTTTTTATTTATTTATTATTTTTATAAGTAGAACAAACACCTATAATTATTTTTGGATAGATTACAATTTGGGTTATTTAGGACAAAAACATTCTCAACTATTAGCGAATATCACGTTATTCTTCTTTATTTATGAACTAGTATATTTTTATCTTTTAAACTATAAAAGTGATATTCGCTATGGGTCATAGTGTATTTAACCCTTAAAATTTTAATCTTTATAATTTAATCTAAATTTCATTTAGGTCATTATTATATCAATTCAAATTATGTGTACTCTCGTGATTTTAAGTTTGATTTTAATTTGATCCATCCTTTCAAAGTTAGATGTTGAAACGCATGACTTTCTAACACTTTGGCAATCACAGAGAGTGTTTGGGGTGCACTACAAAAGTGTACTTTTTTTATGATTTTATTTTTTTGAGTCACATCACATTTCTATTTTTTTTTTTACATTTTTTATAAAAAAAAATTAAAAAATGTACTTATTTAGATAATTGCAGACACCCCCTTAATTGTAAATTAGACAAAAAAAAAAAAAAATGAAATTAAACTTAAAGTCTAGGCTCATATTAAATTAAAATTATAGGGACCAAATTGAAACTAGATCTAGGGAATCGTTTGGAATCATCAAATTTTAGCTTAAAAGTGAAAAGGTGACTAAAAAAGTTAAAAAGTTAATAACTATTAAAAAGTCAAAGATTCCTTTTTATTCACTCTACTTTTTGCATATTTTTTCGTAAAAAATTAAAAAAAAATTCATCCTGAACATATATTAAACTTTTTTTTATCTCATATTTTAGTAAAAAAATCAAAAAGTCATTAAAAGAATATATTCTCAAACGACCATTTAAAGTGTAAGGACAAAATTATTTAAATTGAATAATAGGGATTAAAGTGAAATTAAGATCAAACTTTAGGGTGAAAACTGTAATTAATCTTAATTTTTAAATACGTAATCCTTTGTTTTGTGATTATTATTATTATTTTTGGTTCAAAACAATAAACAAATAAAATAAAATTTTTATTTGTTTATGTAGGTGGTGGAAAGAGTTGGATTTAATATCGAAAGTTCCATATGCGAGGGATAGAGCAGTGGAGTGCTTTTTTTGGTCAACATGTGCATATTACGAACCTCAACACTCTCTTGGACGTGCGGTGCTCACCAAAATAATGCTTTTGTTATCTGTTACCGACGATACTTATGATGCATATGGTACCTATGATGAACTCAAACTTTACACTAATGCAGTCCAAAGGTACAATTTTCTATACCAATCAATTTATTTATCTTGGGTATTTAAAAAAAAAATCTCAGGTTTTTACTTTTATTAATTTTAATTTAATTTTTTTATTTGTTTTCAATTTAAACCATCTGGCTATGTTTGCTAAGTAAAATTAACACACAGAAAAAAAAATATTTTAGACATTTTATGTACACGTATATTGAGATTATTAATTAAAATACTATTTTTCTTTCAGTTTTACTTGACAAAAATAGGTAAATGGTTTAGATTGAAAAAATCAAAAGATTAGTATTTAAATTAATAAAATTAATAACTCAGAGTTTGTTTTGTTATAAAGGTCAAATATTGGAATTTTTTTTTAAAAATAATTATCCCTTTATCTTTTTTATTCATCATTAATTTTTTTTAAAAAAATTATTCTGTTCATCGATATATTTTTTGTATTTATAACATTATTATTCTAAAATAACCAAAGAGTTGGCCTAGTAGTTCGAGACGCATCCTTATCTAGTGTTAAAATAGAATAAAATAAAAGAATTAAGGGAAAGTTAGAAAATAAAAAAAAACTCTAGAGTTTCTTAATTTAAATCTTTAACTTTTGATTTGTTTTTAATTTAAATCATATGTCTATTTTCATTAAGTAAAACTAATAAAAATAAATAATATCTTAGTTATTAAACTCAACAAAAAAAAGGTATTTTAATTGAAAATAAAACAAAAAATTAAGATTTAAATTGATAAAATAAAAAATTTAGAATTTATTTTGTTACAATGGTCAAGTTTTAAAGATTTTTTTTTGTAATTTTTCCAAACTGTTATTGTTTCAAAACACTGTTATTATTAGATTCCCTCATTAAATATTATGAATAGGTAGTCCCTAGTTTCCTCAACTAATGTTATAAATAAGATCATAGTAAGATTTCCACATTAAATATTATTAGGTATTCCCTACTTTCTTTAATTAAAGTCCCAAAATGGAATTATACAAATGCTATTGTGATTAAATTTCTTTTTATCAAATTTTGAATACTCCAGTTTTTTATATGTTGACAATGTATTGATAGGAGACATGAAAGGTGAAATTCATTAAACAAATGTATTTTTTAGGGGACAAACCACATATTAATCAATATTTAATAGTCAAATTTTAGTCATTATTGGTTGTATTAGTATGTTATGACTTGAAGTGGTTAATTCTTAGGTGGGATGTGAGTGCCATGGATGAGCTCCCAGACTACATGAAGGCACTCTATAGAGCTCTCCTAAACGTCTACGATGAAGTAGAAAGGGACTTGGCAAAGCAAGGGAGAGCTTTTGGTGTTCATCATTCAAAAGAAGCAGTATGGTTTTTTCAATGTCCTGTGTATATATATATTCTTGCTTATGACACCACGATTAATCTTTATTTATAGTTCTCTCGTCTCACAAATATTAGTAATTATTGGATTCAAGTCCTAGGTTGGGGGCACGAGGAGAGTAGAGAATAAAATTTTTAAGAACAAATTACACTTGTAGTTCCTATAGTTTGCCTTTTGTTTTCATTTGGCTCTTGCAGTTATAATTGTGTCAATTTATCTTTGAATTTTTCATATTTGTCGATATAGTCAAATTGATAATATTTCTTTAGAAATTAGACTAAAATCAAGATAAAATAGTTCATTCATTTTCCTCAAAAGTGATTGAGAATTATTGTCCAATTTAAAATGATCCATTCCATTTTGGATGGACCATTTTGCTCTTAATTTCTATTTACTCTTCTTATGAATGTTTATCAATTGAACTGAATCAATACAATGTGAAAAATTAAAAAATAAAATTGATGCAATTAAAATTATATAGCCATATTGACCAAATAAACAATTTATGGGGGACTACGGGTAAGTTTTGTCCAAACTTTTATATTATATTGGTCCACCCTCGTGGGGTTCGAACCATAAGTTTTCAATATAGAGTGAGTGATAGAGATTAAGTGTAGAGATGAAAATCCTTTTGCGAGACACGTGTATCTTATTTTGTAATTTTCTTATGTGTATTTGTACTATTGAGTCATAAATCTTGATCAATTGAGGCAAAATCAGGAGTGATTTTTTATCTTCTTCTTCATGATAATTAGGGTCAATTTGGGAACATGGTTAAAAGCTAATTTTTGATTTTTAATTTATTTTAGATCACATCACTTCCCTATTTTTGTACTCGTTTTTTCAAAAAACAGCCAAAAAATGCAACAAAAAAAGAAAGAAAAGAAAAAAGAAAAAAAAAGAAAGTAGCTTTTAACCAATTTTCCAAAACAACCCTTAGACTTCAATTCTATCAGCAAAAGGGAACTTTGATTAATTAATTTTGTTTTTTTTTTGTGTGTGTGACTTATAATTAACCAGTTCAAAGAAATAGTGAGAAGTTATGAAATTGAGGCAGAGTGGTTCAAGGAAGAATATGTAGCGTCATTTGAAGAGTATATGAAGAATGCCTTAGTAACCAGCACAGGTCGACTGCACACAACATCATGCTTCATGGGCTTAGAGGCAGATGTTGCTACCACTGAGGCATTTGAATGGATTCTAACTAAACCTAAAATGGTGGCTGCCTCTGGTGCTATTGGCCGACTCATTGATGACGTAATGAGCCACGATGTACGACTATGCCATTCTTAAAGAGCTTATAATGTTTATTTATTTTTGTGATGATGATGATGATGATGAAATCTAACTCTTTTTTTTTTTTTTTTTTGAACAAATGAAGGAAGAACAAGAGAGGGGACATGTAGCTACAGGGCTTGACTGCTACATGAAGCAGCATGGTGTTTCAAAGCAAGAGGCGATTGTGGAGTTGTATAAAATGATTGAGAATGCATGGAGGGATATCAATGAAGAAATGCTTAAGCCAACTGCCATCTCAATGAAACTCCTGATCCGTGTTCTCAACCTTTCGCGCATCTCGGATGTGGTTTACAAGTATGTGGATGGCTATACTCATCCGGAAATAATCAAAGACCATGTCATCTCTTTGTTCGAAGATCCAATTCCCATTTGAGTGAGCATGGTTCACTGCTTTTTCCCTCCTAATGGCAAACTAATGTGTGCGGGTGTAGGCTTGGACTTGGCCTTGGATTAATTTGTTTTTGGGTATTGTATTATGTACTTCTATCTTTAGTAGTGTGAAAGACAGAAGATTTTCTGTTTTTAAATTCTTCTGTTTCTGTCTCTCAATATAATAAATTTACAAATGTCAAGATACTGTAATCTCGATATTTGTATTTTGAAAGACAGAGCAGATAGATTTGAAGAAATAATCTCCTCAAATAAATGACCTGTGGTGGGTATGGGAGGGCTGTCCTGTTGTCCAGCCCATACTATTGTGCTCAAAGAAAATTTAGGTACTTTCTATTAATGTGATCTACTTGTGTACGACACTCTTTGCCGCACAACACGTATCTACTATTTTTTTTATTATAAACTATATTTTATAATAGGGTATTGTATCAAGCTGGTTAATAATTAGATTAAAATAAATTAAATTCCGTTTGAAAATTGATATTTTAGTTGACTTTCTAACTTTAATATCAATAATTTAAAAATTTAATTGTTTAAATTGATTAGTTTAACGGGTCAAGTGACATAAGTATGATATAAGCAGTGATTATGAAATTAACGGCTTAAAATTATCTGTAATAATTTTAAGGAATTTGGTCAAAACCTCCCTCTTAATCAAACTTTAATACATTAAAGACGAATGCAAACAATTTTTTTTAAAAAGTCCAACACATATCACTATTATCAAAATATTAAACTTTAAAATAATATAACTTTTAATGTAATTTAATAAAATTAGTATTTTAAGAATTCTCTCATCCAGATCTATCAAATAAGATCAATATTGACTATGAATTTTTTTTTTTAAAAAAAATTATTACCGTTGAAACTGATGTAAACAGTAATAGTAACATGTTACTCTATTTGACAATAACATGCTACTCTTTCTCATAATAAAATGTTACTTTATTTGACAGTAACACTAATATGTTATTTTGACAATATTGTCCAAGAAAAAAAAGAAGAAGAATAATTTACATTGTCCTTGCTCAATTATGTGTTTTCTCCTTACACTATGTTTGGTTGAGGGATTTGAAGAATGATTTGAAAAGGAAAATGAAAAAGGAAAGTGAAATATGAATAAAATATACATATATTTTACATAGTTTCACACACATTTTCCCTTTCTTTTTCCAAATCTATTCTCAAATCTCCAAACCAAACAAAGCATTAGGAGGTTTATAAAGTAAAATAAATTAGACTGTTATTTTTATCAAATAAGGGTTTAATGGAGGAATTTTAGCTAAATTCACTACAAGAAAATAAACTTTTGGCGACTAAAAAATTAGTCCCCAAAAGTATTGATTTTAGTTGCCGAAACACTTTGCCGACCAAATATTTTGGTCGCTAGCTTTGTTGGGGATACATCGTCGCCGAAGGTATTGGCGACTAAAAGACATTTAGTCACCAAAAGTAGTACAAGAATACCGACTAATATTTTAGTAGGCAAAAGTAACAAGTATTAGCGACGGAAAGAGCCTTAGTCGCTGATAACTGACATTAGCGACTAACATATTAGTCGCCCAAAGTGTACATTAATTCGTTTAACTCACATCTTTAGCTACTGCGACGAAATTAGTAGTCGCCAATAGTGCTATTTCAGCTACTAAATGTTTAGTCGTGGAAAGGTTGATTCTTGTTTAACTACTGCACAGGTTAGTCGGCTATGATTCTTTTATTATGTTTTGGTGACTAAAAAGTTAGTCGCCAAAAGTGTTTTGGGTTTTAGCTACTAAACAGTTAGTTGCCATAACTGTTTTCGATTTGTTTTGGCTACTAAATATTTAGTCGCCAAAAGTGTTTTGAGTTTTAACTACTAAACATTTAGTCGCCATAACTGTTTTCGATTCGTTTTGGCTACTAAATATTTAGTCGCCAAAAGATTTATTTCTTTTTGGCTACCAATTGTTTTGTCACCAAAAACATCATTTTATATTATTGTTTTGTTTGTTTCATTTTACTAAATTCCGTCTGAACCTGTATGTATCCACCGCAACCTGTAATACGTATACAACCTCTATATATTATAACCAGATGATACAGTTTGTTCCAGTGAATGGATCAGACAGGTCCAAGCTCCTCAGGCCCACGTGCAAATGATCAAGCCCACCGGATAACCTGCAAACAAGTCCAACGGAGAACGGGGTAGTCCCCTAGTGAACCCTCCGACGAGCAAGTTAGAAGGAGAAGTAGGGTGTAGAGAGAGATTAGAGATATAAAACTTAACCTTCTTCTTGTCTTCAACGTTTACTTATATCCTTTGGTAATCATTTCGCTATCCCTTCCGACCTGCCCTCCTCGCCAAAAGTCTATGCTGTAACTTACCTTGTTCAGGGTAAGGGGGTCCTGTTCCGACGGAGAGGTGTTGTCGTAATAAATGCTGTGATGGGCTGCATTAATGGTGATGTGCAGTGGCAATAACTTTACAGATCTTTGTCTGCTGATGTGGCTCGTCCTTCACCTGCCATGTGTCCGAATGTCATTGGCTCTTTATGCCATGTTGGATTCCAGTTGTTCTGGACCTCACCAGCTGGGTTATGTATTGGGCTCCAAGTGATGGGCTTGGGTTGTTCATAGTGTTTCATGGCCTTTATGGGCTTATACACGTCAGTAGTCCCCCATTCCCGAGTGCAGCTTTAGTCCAACGAAGGGAATACTAATGAAGAAGATGAGGGTGTCAGGGATTGGCAGGATGAAGGTCGACCAGCAAGGGTGACCAAGAGGGTGAACCGACCGGGAGGTGGTCCGACCGTGCAAGGTGATCGAGTGGAAGGGCCGACCACGAGAAGGGCCGACCGCGAAGGTTGGCTGTCACGACCCCAAACCGCCCTTAGTAGTTTGGTGCCGTGATGGCCAGTAATCTGAGATTACCGAAGGCCAACCTTCAAAATTCACACACAATCAGAGTATAAATATATGGGGCTCACAAGTGCAGAAGCAATAATTTAAAATACAAGTGGTCCATAAGAGCAGTGCATAAGTCAAATGGAATGACATACATCTTTTCATAGCTTTAAAACTTGAATACAAATAAAATGAAGTACAAAAATACATATTACATTTTGATAAAAGGCTTCTCGAGCCGACATGTTCAAAATACATAAGCTTCAAGATTGTTGACATAAACAAAAACACTTGAGCCACAAATCATGAAACATAATCTTCCAGTTTGCCGACATCCTCACTGCCGACATAACATACATGCAAAACACACATCTCAGCGTAGCCGACTTCTTGCTTGTTACCTACATATATACATAGGAAGGGTGAGTTTGGATACTCAATGAATGGTATAAGTAATAAAGGGGTTAAATGAATGATACCCGAGATCTTTTCAAAACAATACATAGTATATCCTTGTCAAAACCATACATAACATAGCTTAACTTGACTTGAAACAAAACATCAATCGAACCTTGGTCTTTCAAAACAAAAGCATAACCTCGGCACGAGCACACCCGTTCATAGTCCGTCGGTGGCTGATATCTTAACAAGGGTGCTACTTAGGCTTAACGTCCCCTAGCACAAAAGGACGGTGCTACCTAGGCTTAAAGTCCCCTAGCACGGAAGGACTCTCAAACAAGATGTGCAGTTGTATTATAGTCCCCTGACACTAAGGACTTCCAAAACAAGGGAATAATCGACCCGAAATCGATTAGACAAACCCACCCGCACAAGGCAGTCGGTGGCAAGGGAGATATCTCAAACAAGGGTGCTACAAAAGTTTAGAGTCCTCTAGCACAAAGGACCTATGTTACAAAGGCCCGTAGCCTCCTAACACGAGAGTACTGCGAAAGTTTAGAGTCCTCCAGCACAAGGGACTTTCAAAACAAGATGTGCTGCGAAAGTTTAGAGTCCTCCAGCAGAAGGGACTTTCCGAGAATGTCATCAAAACAAAACTTATACTTGGTACGCAAAACTTATACTTGATACATAAAATAGGGATATCATTCATGCTTAGCAAATACTTTTATCAAAACAAGGCAAAGCTTTATCAAAACCATATAAAATAACTTTATTAAAAATACCACTCACTTAGTTCTTGGGACGTCGGGATCAAGGAAATGGTCCAAGTCCTACAAACACATGGCAAAGCATACTAAACATACTTCTCAAAACAAGTTTTACATGCATGCAAATGATCTCGGGAAAACATGCTGGAAGTGAAAACACTGTTTTACATGTCAGGAAGACATGCTAGGTACCAACCAGATCTTTGCCAAGGTCCCACACCTCCTGGCCGAGGTGTGGCTACCTAGGCTTCGGCGTGCGGCTGCATGCCGAGGTGCGCACAAGACAAACTAAAGGTCTAAGTGATCATGAAAGGTAGGCCAAGGTGAGATACGATGCTTGGCCTAAGTGTGAGGTCTAGGTAAGGGTGATCTCGGCGATTACACCTCGGGAAGTGAGGTCTGGAGATCTGGGTTTCCACCCGCGAAGAACAGGAAGAACATGAACATGAAGAACATGAGGAACATGAATGCTAAAATCATAACTTCTTTATTTACAAAATCTGGGATTTCATGCTATGAGTTCGAAAACATGGACCTGGGTACCTATACTTGAAGATCATGTGAAAACAAACACAAAAACATGGATCTTGGCATGAGGTTTCAGATCAAAACATGACTTTTCTTGAAGAACACATGAATACTATTTTCTCTTTCTAAAACCGAACTTCAAAGCAATGCATGGCTTAAAAATCATATTCAATCATGCAATGCAATAACATGAACATAAAGAACAACATGAGCAGATTAAGAATCTAACCTTAGAACACGAATCTAACGGTTCGATCTCTAGGGATCAAGCTTGGAAATCTACTCTGCCTCAAGAACTCTTCTCCCTCTCCTAGAGCTTCTCTCTCCTCTTCAAAACAAAGATATAGAAATGATAGGTTTTCTCTCTCTATCGGCTGACTTAACACTCAGCTCGGACATGTGGCAACGGCTGGTTGGTTCTCCTAAAAAAGGTGATAGATTGACAAGACAAGACTATGACAAAGTGTATCTAACAAGCTACTCGGTAAGGCACTCCGGCAAGTGATGACATCGGCTAGGGACAAAGCTTCGGCGACTAAAGTGACAATGACCTCGGCTAGGGACAATGACCTCGGCTAGGAAGGACAACACTTGGCCTAGCTGTGCCACACCTTGGCCTAGATGTGCCACACCTCGGTCTAGGTCATACCACTTGTAGACACCCCATTTTTGACCGACCTTAAGACTCAGACATCACCGATTGAGCGCTCGGTGACGTTGCATATCGTGCTCATTCAGAAGTCTCAGAGTCGCGGCTGCGAGCCCTGCCTCCGGACTTCCGAACCCTCTTCTGTGC